TTGCTTTGAAGGAAACTTAAACAAGCATAGTCAATGAATGATTGAATATAAAGTTATAAACACCTCTTAAGAGTCAAACGAGGTTTAAAACCATGTTTTTCTTATTATTATAACTCATATGGGCTAAGTATCAAGCAACAACCCAACATTTGAGATCTTGGACAACTACCCTACCAAGTTGATATTTTCCGAAAGAGTTAAAAAGAATACAATCATGAACTATTAAGTGACAAATTAATTCACTCATCATCATCATCACCCCAGTACCACAAAGGTTGTCACCTACAATGGGTTAAGGGGGGTCGGATGTACGCATGAACTAGGATGTTTTTACTTGGACTGTAATTTATGGTCTGGTCTGGTCTGATCTGGTCTGGTCTGGTCTGGTATGGTATGATCTGAAGTGGTCTGGTCTGGTTTCTTTGTATTTTTATAACTATCCAAGTCTGGTCTGGTCTGGTCAGTCTGAACTGGTTTGGTCTGGTCCGATCTGGTCTGGGACGAATTACAGTTCAAGTAAAAACATCCCTAATTGTTGCTTCATAACAAAAAAGCAGAAGTGCAAGCAATTTAGTAGGTCATTTTGTTTTATTACAACAACAACAAACAACAACATCCAAGCCTTAGTCCTAAAAGATATTGAGGTCGGTTAACATGAATCGATACATGATATCACAGCCAAAAGGAAAAGAAAGAAAATAAAGATAAAAAAGACAAGTTATTATAAAAAGATAATATAAAAAGAGATGAATATACATAAAAATGATAAAATAAAAAGGCTACAAATAATGCTTATATATATAAGGATAAAAAACAAGGAAAAAAAGATGAGGGAAATAGATGATACGAGATCACTCCTTCACGCGAATACCCGCCCTCCACTTAGTTCTCTCCAAAGTCATACCCTCATCCAACCCCAGAAGAAGCATATCACTTCGAACTCCCCTAACCCACGTCTGTTTGGGTCTTCCTCTCCCTCTCTTCCCTGCCTCTTCTCCACACATCTCAACTCGTCTGACAGGTGCATCACTCGGTCTTCTACGCACATGACCAAACCACCGTAGGCGCGACTCCCGCATTTTGTCTTCAATAGGTGCTACTCCCACTCTTTGTCTGATTGTCTCATTCCTCACACGGTCCTTCCTAGTATGCCCACACATCCAACGCAACATGCGCGTCTCTGCCACACTCATCTTTTGAATGTGACATTGTTTCACCGCCTAACACTCTACGCCATACAGTAATGCAGGCCTAATTGTTATCCTATAAAATTTACCCTTCAGTCTAGTCAGCATACCTCGATCGCATAGAAATCCTGACGCACTCTTCCACTTCATCCACCTTGTTCTTATTCTATGGGATACATCTCCATCTAACTCATTGTCCTTCTGAATTATGGAGCCCAAGTAACGGAACATATCGCTGACTGGTATCTCCTTACCATCCAGAGTAATTCCGCTATTACCACTGCTTCTACCTCCACCAAACTTGCACTCCATGTAATCTAACTTGTTCTGACTTAGTTTGAAACACTTATTCTCCAATGTTTGTCGCCATACTTCCAACTTTGCTTTAAAACCTGATTGCGTCTCATCAATCAATACAATATCGTCGGCAAACATCATGCACCACGACATATCGTCTTGAATTGCCTTCGTAAGTTCATCCATGACAATGGCAAATAAGAAAGGGCTCAAGGTCGATCCTTGGTGCACTCCGATAGTAATAGGGAACTCTTCAGTCCTCCCTACACTAGTACGGACACTTGTAGTACAATCCTCAGACATATCCATGATGATGCTCATATACTTGCGTGATATGTCTTTCCTAGTTAAGGCTCACCATAGAACTTCTCGAGGTACCATGTCATATGCCTTTTCTAAGTCAATGAACACCAAATGCAGATCCTTATGAGCGTCTCTATACTTCTCCATAAGTTGTCGAAGAAGGTGAATGACCTCAGTTGTTGAGTGACCAGGCATAAAACCGAATTGATTCTCTGAAATCTTCACAGTTCTTCGAAGTCTTTGCTCAATTACTCGCTCCCAAAGTTTCATGGTGTGACTCATAAGCTTAATCCCTCGATAGTTGACACATTCTTGTACATCACCTTTATTCTTAAATAAGGGGATAAGAGTACTCTTCCTCCAACTCATTGGCATCTTGTTGTTTGTCATTTTGTTTTATTCCAGCAAAAAAATAGTGAATCTTTGACTTCATTGCAAATTAATTCACTAAAAGAGTTAAATATATTATCAATAATTTAAACTACAAAGTTTCAGCAAAAAAGAAGTGTTGTGATAAGATTCATGTGCTTTCTATCTAACGAATAGGAAAAGTAAATCATAAAGAATAAACTGTTACGATGAATAAACCGAAATGAAGGAAGGGGGAATGAAGGAAATCTCGGCAGGCAATAATTTATCTTTAGTTTTATCACTTTGCTTTGTTCAAGTTTCTTCCTTTTCAACTTAGACACTACTGTTTGAATTAGAAGAAAAGGGCTGGGCTGTCAGATCACAACAGACTAGGTGATATAAGAATTATAGGAGTTGATATGAATGCCTTGTCAATACTTTAATCATGTTTGTAGGTGACTAGGTGTCTGCGGTTACAGTTCTCACCACTTTTGCCTAGAGCGTGGATTTGCATTCGTGCTGCTCATACCAGGGAAGATGTTTAGTTAGTGCCTTGGAGGCTCAACATTGATCACACAAATGGATTTCTTCATTGACTGATTGATGATCACCAACTTCTCCTGCCTGACCCACATGTTATTATTTCCTTGTTTTCACTTTCATTGGGCTGTCATGTACACTGGGTTCTTCATGGTGTTTTTAAAAATGTCCTCTTCTGTTTTATTTCTAGATATTTATTTCTGGGCAATGCATCACTAAGCAACAATCACATTCTAACTATATCAACTATTGGGCACCAACGCTTGCGCAATGCATGCCCTTGCTAGTATATTTATGCACGCGCATCGGCGAGGGCACGAGTGTTGCACACGAATTAGTGGGAAGAAACCAGCGCAGAAGGTTACGTTATCGCTTTCACGGGGCAGATGTGGAGAGGGGATCTTGTTGTTACACATTCAAACGAGTGAGCCCAACTAGCAGTCCCCTCATCATGAACTATTTGGACCGAGAAAGAAGATGACAGTTCTCCATCACCAGGGACTGTTCGTATGAAGAATAATGTGTATAGTGTTGGTTTTGCAACTTCGTTTACCAGTCCAGTTATCTTACATGACCGAGAAGTGCAAGTCACTGAGGGATTCATTGCTGAAACACATTATTTTTGCTGAAGGTTGAGGATAGGGCGTCATCCCACGCGTCAGGTCGCCTAAAACCGCCAAAGTACAGTTGATCGTATGATCTAGGTAAGGATGAAGGGGATGAACATTGTGGCTACATATTGGGAACAACAAAGTACTTCGAAGAATTATGCTACTTTTGGTTTAGTCTGATAATCTTGAGTCTTAACTATGGCCTTGAAGTACCGGTGACAGTGGACACAGAAATACTTTCTAAGATGGGCTAAATATCAAATAACAACCCAACATCTGAGATCTTGGACAACTACCCTACCAAATTGATATTTTCTGAAATAGTTAAAAACGAATATAATCATGAACTACTAATTGTCTAATTAACATATTAATTCACTAAAAGAGAAATATATTATCAATAATCTAAACTACGAAATTTATCAAAAAGAAGCGATGTGATTCATGTGATTTCTATCTAAAGAATAGGAAAAGTAAATCATAAAGAATAAACTTAAGATGAATAAACGGAAATGAAGAAAGGCGGGAAATGAAGGAAATCTCGGCGGGCAATGATTTATCTTTAGTTTTATCACTTTGCTTGGTTCAAGATTCTTCTTTTTCAACTTAGACTCTACTGTTTGAATTCGAAGAAAGGGGGCTGGGTTGTCAGATCATAACGCACTAGGCGATATACAAATTCTAGGAGTTGCTATGAATGCCTTGTCAATGATATAATCATGTTTGTAGGTAACTAGGTGTCTGTGGTTACAGTTCTCACCACTTTTGGCTAGAGCGTGGATTTGCATTCGCGCTGCTCATACTAGGGAAGATGTTTAGTTAGTGCCTTGGAGGCTCAACATTGATCACACAAATAGATTTCTTCACTGACTGATTGATGATCACTTGATCACCAACTTCTTCTGCCTGACCCGCATGTATTAATTCCTTGTATTTACTTTCAGTGTGCTGTCATGTATACTAGGTTCTTCATGCTGTTTTTAAAAATGTCCTCTTATGTTTTGTGTCTACATATTTATTTCTGAGTAATGCATCACTAAGCAACAATCACATTCTAACTATATCAACTATTGGAACCAACGCTTTTGCATTGCTCCTTGCTAGTATATTTATACGCACGCATCTGCGAGGGCACGGGTGTTGCACACGAATTAGTGGGAAGAAACAGGCGCAGAAGGTTATCGCTTTCACCTGGAAGATGTGGAGAGGGGGTCTTCTTGTTACACATATGGACCGATATGGACCGAGAAAGAAGATGACAGTTCTTCGTCACCATGGACTGTTCGTATGAAGGATAATGGGCATAGTGTTGGTTTTGCAACTTCGTTTACCAGTCCGGTTATCTTACTGAGAAGTGCAAGTCACTGAGGGATTCATCGCTGAAAGACATTGTTTTTGCTGAAGGTTGAGGATAGGACGTCATCCCACGTGTCAGGTCGCCTAAAACGGCCAAAGTACAGTTGATCGTATAGGTAAGGATGAAGGGGATGAACATTGTTGCTACACATTGGGACAACAAAATACTTCGACGTATTATGCTACTTTTGGGTTACAGTCTGATAATCTTGAGTCTTGACTATGGGCTTGAAGTACTGGTGACAGTGGAGCCAGAAATACTTTCTAAGAGGAGCTGGAGGTTACGCAAATACTTCGTACTTCACATTTCAACATATGTTTTTATAACATATGCATATTTGTACACACACATATATATATACTTGACACAAATAATGCATTGCAGATTTATAGTGGTGATAAAACATCTTATTTCTCAGAATTTGCCAATATAACAAAAACTAAAATAACAAAGAGGTAAGTAAGAACCTCTTTCAGACTTCAACATGGTTCTAATATACGTATTAAAAACTTCAGAAGAATGAAATTATCAACATTATTACTATCTTATGTGTGTGTATAAACTTTATCTGCAAGCATAAGAGATGAAAAACAAACCCCAATTTGTCATGCAATGCCATGCTGAATTGGTACACAAATCCAATCCTCAAACAGAAACCTTTGCATCTGATGAAGTAAAAACAGCTTTAACCGCTTGAAAAACTTCATCAACTGGCTTGGCAGCATCAATCCTTTGAACCTTCCCCTTAGACCTGTAATACTCAATAACAGGGAGACTAGACTCCATGTAAACATTGAATCGCTTTCTTATTGTTTCTATATTGTCATCTTCCCTACCCTGATTCCGGCTTAATAAGCGGCTCTCCATCTCTTCTTCAGAACAGTCAAAGAAGAGGACAAATTCTGGCAGAATTCCAGTGACACGCTCAAAAGCTTCTCGATTTTCTTCATTACGAGGGAACCCGTCAATGAGAAACTTGTCGTTCTCAATTTCATGCATAGCTCTCTGGAGGAGAGCAATAGTTACTTCAGAAGGTACAATTTTTCCTTCTTTGATCATGTTCTGAATCATTGTGCCATTTTCTGAACCAGACTTGATCTCTGCTCGAAGAAGATCTCCAGCGCTTAGATGGGTGTACCCAAAATGTTCAACAATCTTTGCACACTGTGTACCTTTACCGCTTCCAGGGCCACCCAGGACAAACACAACCTTAACCTTTTTATTAGCTGTGCTGCTTCCATTTGCTCCCTTGTTTGCAGAATCAATAACAGTTCCCATCGCTGGCAAAGAAAAACGGTGTTTTGATGAGTAATCTCAAAAACGGATCACACGATCCGACTGAGGAGGTGAAGAAATGATGAACCGGAGCCTATTCTTTGATTTCGAGCTTGAAATTTCTGTCTGGCACCAATCGATCTACCGCCCCTGCGATACGAGATGGAAGATCAGAAAAACTGCGTGCTGGAGCCTCTGAAAGACACGGAAGTTCTCTTGATGGGGCTGGGAGAGAAGTGTTTGTTCTCTGCGATCGATTCTTTCGCTGGGAGAAATTTTCTTGTCCGATACGTTTGCGTCGGATCCCGGAGAACGTGGGAATCGCAAATTATACCGTACACAGTTTTTAAAAGGGGCGTCGGATCCGGGACAACGTGGGAATAAGGTGTTTTGAGTGGGGTGCAAAGTAATATTTTGAAAAAACTTTGATTTTAGGCTCCGTAATATTTTGTGAATGGGTGCATAGTAAAGGTTTTTTAAGAAAAATGTGGTGCAAAGTTAAAGCTTTTTTAAAATAGGATGCAAACTCTAATATCACCCAAAAAGTGGGGTGCAGAGTTAAATTCTCCGATTTTTAAATCAAATAACTAATTCATTCATATCAAATGATACCAAATGAAACAATTAAATGACTAGCCTAAAGATGTTTTTACTTGGACTCGTTTCAGTCACAGACCAGACTTAAATAAACTAGATCAGATTTGACTTCCGTAGTAATAAAATACATAGAGATCAGACGTTTACCAGACCAGACTAGTTCAGACCAAACTTAAACAGACCAGACCAGATCAGATCATACTTAAACAGACCAGACCATACAAGACCAGCAAATTACAGTTCAAATAAAAACATCCTAAAGTTACAATGGAATGAGATTTTGAACGAAAAAGATCACATGAATCATTTCAGATCGTTAACCCCGCAATAATGTAGTTTAGTCTAACAGCCTTGCAGCACTTGCTACTCCAAATAAAAGATAAAAAATTACATATAAAAGATCTAGCTTCACTAGCCACCACAAAGGGAGAATTGATTTGACCATCAATCAACAAAGGAAAACCTACCGAACTTAAATTGTCTGAGTCATCGATTTGACCAGTCACCGAAAAGGAGATCCAGTTGAACGCTTTCTTTTTTCTGGAGCGAGGCGGTGGTTCAGGTGGAGGGCGAATAATTGAACCATCACAACGACAAGGTTGAAAAAGCTTTTCCAACCATGAACAACAAAAACTCATTAGATCAATTACACCAATGAGAAACTCACAACCTATAGACACCTCTATGAGAAAAACATACCACAGACTCACATGAAGCGTACAAAACTTCCGCCCAAAGAAGACGTCGGACTAAAACCCTCGAAAGTAGAAATCAAAAAAGAGCGAAAGCATAGAAAAATCTTTAATTCAATATTTCAATGCCTAGAGAAACATCACCATCTTCCAAAATATTTGCTAATTAAAGAAGAGAAGACTCAAAAAACATATCTCACGTGAGAGATGCTGCCTGGGACATCAATAAACGTTCGGGAAGAAAACAAAAATTAACCGTATCTCTTGAGAGATAGATTTTTGGGCGGCATTCGTGTCCGCAGGTCGCCCAAATGAACGTTGGGCAATAAATGAACAACGTTTTCTTCTGTCGCGCACTTCTTCCGTTACAACAATTAATGTCCAACGTTCTTCTCTTTTAATGCTGCGTTAAATGGACAATTTATGGATGATTCAATGCCCAACGGACTGGTCATTGATGTCCAACGTTCAGGTCCATTAACACCCCATTTAACACACAACAAATCCTCCTATAAATAGCTGGCAGGTGCTTTGCAACAAACACACGGTTTGACAACGCACAACACTTTCATCACGTTTTCTTGGGCTAAAAACTCTTCCAGCTACTCCCAAAAAATCCTTCTGTGTTCATACTTGGTTCTCGTTCGCTGGAACTCTTGTTTGTGTGCTCAAACATTAGTTTGTAGTCATCGTATCCTGGGAAACGATTGTTGCAACGCTCCTAGCACCGTGGGAGGCAACAAATACGTTTTAAGGAAATCGTGCGTAGCACGAGCTTTGGCTAATTCTGCTTCATCTCCTTTCTTGTTTTTCTCTAGTCATTTTATTTAATTAATTTACTTTAATTAATTTCTTTATTTTCCAAAACACACCCTACAATCTTAAAACGTATTTGTTGAGCTTGTATCATACGGATACAATCTTAAAACGTAGTTTGTCACTTTGGTGAACGAACTTATTTTTTTGTGTCTTCGGAAAACGTTAAAGAACGAAAATGACTTCTCAAGAAAACGAGATTGGTGTTGGGCAGAATGTTCTGAACGACAATCACTCTGAAAGTGGAGCACCGGTGAACAATGGTTCACAACGCGGTGCATCTACTTTGGCCAACCAAAGGGCTATCCCTATGGTGACCGTGCCAAGCAACTCTGTGGAGAAACCCGAGAAATTCAACGGGTTAAACTTCAAGAGGTGGCAGCAAAAGATGCTATTTTACCTCACTACTCTCGGTCTTGCTAAATTCTTGACCGAAGATGCGCCGGTAGCAACCGGGGGTGAGGTGGATGCGCAATCTTTCAACGCGGTTGAAGCTTGGAAGCATTCTGACTTCCTTTGCCGAAACTATGTGTTGAACGGGCTGCATGATGCTTTGTACGACATGTATAGCAAATTAGCTACGGCTAAGGAGCTATGGAATGCTTTGGACCACAAATATAAAAGCGAGGATGCCGGCGCAAAGAAATTTGTTGTCGGTCGATTCCTTGATTTTAAAATGGTGGATTCGAAGACGGTCTTGAGTCAAGTTGAGGAGATGCAAATGATCTTCAACGAAATTCGAGATGAAGGAATGACGGTTAGTGAGTCATTCCAAGTGGCGTCAATTATTCATTTATTGCCGCCGGCTTGGAAGGATTTCAAGAACTACCTTAAGCACAAGCGAAAGGAAATGAACTTGGAGCAATTGATCCTCCGTCTGCGGATTGAAGAGGATAACCGGAAGAACGATGGGAAACTCCCAATTTTTCATGGCGCCAAGGCCAACGTGGTGGAGCATGCAAAAGGCTCCAAAAACAAAAATAATGGGAAGAGCAAGCTCGGTCCCAAGGGAGGCGTTTCAAAGACGAAATTCAATGGAAAATGCTTCAATTGCAATAAAAACGGACACAAGTCCGCGGATTGCAAGGCACCCAAGAAGAAGAGGGACTCTCAAGTCAACTTGGTGCAAGGTGGGCAAAAGGATGAAGACATCATCCTAGCGGCTGTGGTTACGGAAGTCAACCTCATTGGATCCAATTCCAAGGAGTGGTTTGTGGACACCGGTGCAACCCGGCATATTTGCTCAAACCGGGAGTTATTCACTACTTTTGAGCCATCAAATGGTGAGAAGGTGTGGATGGGAAACTCGGCTCATTCCGCGGTTGAAAGCGTGGGCAAAGTGGTCCTGAAGATGACTTCGGGCAAGGAGCTGACTCTAAACCAAGTTTTGTTCGTTCCGGAAATACGCAAAAACCTGATTTCTGGTTCGTTGTTGAACAAACATGGCTTTCGCATGGTTTTTGAGTCGGACAAATTAGTTTTGTCTAAATCGGGAATGTATGTGGGAAAGGGATATACATGTGATGGGCTGTTTAAGCTCAATGTAATGACTATTATTAATAATAATAATAAAATCCCTTCTGTTTACTTGCTTGAGTCTTCCAATGTGTGGCATGGTAGACTAGGACATGTTAACTTTAATTCTATACGTAGATTAATTAACATGGAGCACATTCCTAAATTCACAATTGATGTGAAGCACAAATGTGGAGTTTGTGTAGAGGCAAAACTAACGAAAACGTCTTTCAAATCGGTTGAAAGAAAAACGGAACCACTTGAATTAATTCATAGTGACGTTTGTGATTTTAAATCAATACAAACACGCTGCGGTAATAAATATTTTATTACCTTTATCGATGATAGCACTCGCTATAGCTACGTTTATTTATTAAAAAATAAACATGAAGCAATCGATAAATTCATTTTTTATAAGAATGAAGTGGAAAACCAACTTAATCGAAGGATTAAGACGGTTAGGAGTGATCGAGGTGGTGAGTATGAAGCACCAATTGGTGACTTTTACGCTAGGGTGGGTATAGTACACGAACGTACCGCCCCCTATTCACCTCAATCAAACGGTGTTGCCGAACGAAAGAATCGCACATTGAAAGATATGATGAACGCGATGCTAGTAAGTTCGGGCTTGCCACAAAATATGTGGGGCGAAGCAATCTTGACAAGCAATTACCTTTTAAATAAAGTTCCCGGACAAAATATGATAATACTCCGTACGAGTTGTGGAAAGGCAGACGGCCTTCCTATCAATATTTAAAAGTGTGGGGGTGTCTTGCTAAGGTGCTTGTACCAACACCTAAGAAAATAAAAATAGGTCCAAAAACGGTGGATTGTATTTTTATTGGGTATGCACAAAATAGTAGTGCTTATCGGTTTTTAGTGTACGATTCGAATAATCCGGATGTACATAAAAACACAATAATTGAATCAAGGAATGCCTCATTCTTTGAAGATGTATTTCCATGCAAGTCCAACGATGGGCCTAGCACGTCAAAACGAACATTTGACGTAGCTATGGAAAATACTAGCGAGGGATCCGGAGAAGAACCCGAACCCAGACGTAGCAAACGTGCTAGAATTGAAAAATCCTTCGGACCGGATTTTCTCACCTACTTGGTAGAATTTGACTCGGATATTCTAACATGTATGGTAGAAAATGAACCGGATTTTCTAACATGTTTGGTAGAAAATGAGCCACGGACTTATACGGAAGCCGTGACGTCTACTGAAGGTCCTATGTGGAAAGAAGCCATCAAAAGTGAGGTGGACTCTATCCTAAAAAATCACACGTGGTAATTGGTTGATCTCCCTCCGGGATATAAACCTTTGGGATCCAAGTGGATTTTTAAACGTAAAATGAAACCAGACGGTTCCATTGATAAGTATAAGGCCAGACTTGTAATCAAGGGATACAAGCAACGCGAGGGCCATGATTACTTTGACACGTATTCTCCCGTGACGAGAATAAATTCCATTAGGATGATACTAGCGATTGCCGCTTTGCGGAATTTGGAAGTTCATCAAATGGACGTAAAAACCGCTTTTCTAAATGGCGATATAGATGAAGAAATCTATATGGAACAACCCGAGGGTTTTCGTGTTCCGAGCCAAGAAAAGAAGGTTTGTAAATTAATTAAATCATTGTATGGATTGAAACAAGCCCCTAAACAGTGGCACGAAAAGTTCGATCATGCAATGTTAATTAATGGGTTTAAGATAAACG